CGCCATTAATGCGGGCCCCTACTATACGATTTCACAATTGAACAAGCAGAATCTAGCGTTCGCAATCCTCTTGGACTCAATTCGCCTTACGCCATACATGAACTCACCTAACATAGCTCGCGCACACGCTTTGCGGACAAAGCACCCTCTAAAGGAGGGGGGTAGTGTAAGGATGCCTCCTTACTTAGGGTAGTTGCGGGTAGTGTAGGGATGCCCCCTCACCACGACATTTAAGGGACTAGGGTCAGGGGTGTTACGGACTAGTTGCGACGTCACTGTTAGGCACAAAGGCAATTAGCCGAGTTAGACCTAATACGGATATTTAAGGGGTAGGAAGCTGTAAGCTCCCCCTTTATCTTTTTTGTATCCTTTGTAGTAGACCTATAGGATTGCACCGACTTATATCCGACTCGCACTCCCATATGCAACTACTTATGATATAGTGCCCTGTGTCCTTACATTAATAATATATTAGGTCTAATACTACAAGAAGCTTACGTACCAGCCTATTAAGGATTAGTTCTGTACTTTCCTACATGCTAGGTGTGACCAGTATACATATAACTACTTAGGAGTTAAATACTGCAAATACTTAGATCCTAATATTAAGAGTATAAATCATACTTAATTATTACCCTCTGATTTTCAGAAAATGATTAATCTACAGGAGCAGAGATCAATCTCTACCTAGCGTACAGAGGCAAATAGGTATATATTCCTTAATATATTATAAATATATTACTAACACATTGTTATACAGCCTATTTATCATAGTGAATTCGCAATTTAAACAGAAGAAGGCATGTAGACAAGACTATTTAGATAGTTGCAAGCCTTCTTTCATTTGCTTAAATTAACAAGTAAGATCATTCTTAATACATTCTTAATACATTACTAATATATTAGAACGTTGTGGGTAATTTCTCATGCTTTATTTCTTATATTAACAAGAATAAATTTCCAGCAAGTAATACCCATTACTTTAAGCTAATATAGGTTATGCTTCATAAGGAGTTGCCTTATTTAGAACGTCACTTTTCACCTAATTTTAAACCTAAATATGAGTCTTGTTATGTTGTTAAACAGACAAGTGTAAGAAAAGCAAATTGTAGTAATTACCAGCCTCCTTCTTAATCTAATGTATTACTAATATATTAGGTATTAATCATCCTTAAGAGTAAGGACAACTAAAGCTTTATAATAAGTGCAAGGTTAAATTTCAGTTATTTATGCCTATAAATACTAAAGAATGCCCTTATTTTCTATAGACTTCTTATAGAGAGCATTCTCACCTACCACTAATTCCTTCTGCTACACCATTAGTTTTGATATCAGATCTAATATTAATTATTTAGCATATAAATGACCCTTTACTTACAACAAGTAAGTAATCACTAATACATTACTAATACATTATTAATATATTCACCTAGATACGTTACTACAGAATCTAGTAATGCGTACCTTTTACAAGTCCTATAATAGGCAAAGCCTTAGAGAGATTTATAAAAGCAAGACTAATATGGATTAGATTAGCCTTGTTCTACAAAAAGAACAATTGCTTTTATACCCTAAAGGACAGCATATCTAAGGCCTCTAATATGAGTATAAACAGAACCACAAGAACTATAAGGATGTAGTAAGAAATACCCCTAATATATATAGAATGTATTACTAATGTATTACTAATGTATTAGTATATCTAAGACTTCTATTCAGATGCAGCTAATCTTATAGTAATATGCTGTTTTTAGGAGGCTACTAAGGTCTTAATGACCCTTAAGGCCTTTAAGGTTGACATGACCTTTAAAAGGGTTAAAGACTTAAAAATTAATGAAGTGGTTTTTGCTAGTTTTATACTAATCCAAAATAAAGGTAAGCGCCTAATACATTACTAATCTATTGCTAATATATTAGTGATGACATTTATACAAGTCTATGTTAACTAAGATAGTACATTAATATATTACTAACTCTTTACAAAGGTTTTTACTATTCTAGAACAGCTTACCTAAAAACCTATTTAATAGAAACATCTTTACAGGTCTGGTTTTAGGGCACTAGTTATAGATATAGACTTAAAGTAAATGTCTAGTATGTACGTGCAATACATTTATAATATATTACTAATGTATTAAGGATTTAGACGTTACCTTAGTAGTATTAACCCTGAAAACTAACCCTAGTAATGGCATATATGCTATATAGTGATATTTTGTACAATTCACTTTAAATGTGGTATTACTAAAGTTCTAGGCTCTAATGGTAATAAGCCCTAGTTCTAAAGAACAATGGGTGAGCTACTTAAGACAAAATCTAGTGAGGATTATATACAACTTCTTAAGAGTATTATAGGTAAAATGTCTTCCTAATACATTAGTAATGCATTACTAATGAATTAGCCTTACCATCTGCAACTAAGCCTATACATTAAAAGGCTGCTTATAAAAGGCTAGATATAATAGCTAGTAGGTTAAATTAATATATCTTAAGAATGGATTAGGATATATTTAAGCGTATAAGATGGCATACAAATGCAGTTAAGCAAACCCACTTAAAAACAGCATCTTTCAGCAAGAAGCTTTCCTTACTAAAAGCAGTAAAGATGTATATATATACTAATACATTATGAATTAATTACTAATATATTTAAGGGGCCAAACTACTAATAGGCGAGATATTAATTAGTTTAATGCTAAAGTTAATTATAGAGTTAGTGTTTCATGGCACATAAGCTCTTTAGCTGCTTAGTTTAAGCTTAGTAATATAAGAGAGAGTTAGTAATAAAGGAATATATAATTAATACATTACTAATATATATAGGATCCTACAAGCAAGCTCAAGCACCTACTTTACAAGATAATATTAATTTAACTTAAGAGGATAAGTCTAAAATCCTATCTTAAGCTTCATCCTCTAGGAATCTTAGGCCTACTCAACGCTTAAGGTCACGCTAAAGTTCAAGTTCACGATTAAGATCACGAAGAGGGTACGTTTCCACATTAATAGATTATTAATACATTCCTAATGTATTCATAGTAGAATGCCATTACGACAAAATATTACTTGAAATATGCTGTCAGACAAAGAGAGCATCGAGCTTCAAATAGCTGCAGCTGAGGCTCAGCGTCTAGAAATAGAAAATGAAAAAGGTGCAGCTGAGGCTCGTCGGTTAGAGCTAGAAAATGAGAAGTTAGAGCTAGAGCTGATGAAGATGCGGAAGGATTTACAGGATTCCTAGTAATTAATTGATAATGCATTAGTAATACATTCCGTACAGAATCCTCGCACTTGTCGTGTTCTGGTTGCGGTGGTATTGTAAGAGGAACCAGCGACGTCTGCATAAAATACCCAGACCTCAAGGCGGGTGCTGAGGTCAAAGCGAGCCTTCTGAGTTCGATGAAAATTAGGCGAGCTTGGAACACCTGGCCCGAGCTAACCCCAGCGCCCAGCCTGACCTACTACCAGCACCGGTTCTTCCTTCCCGTTATCCCATTTCCGTCAACAATCTTTGATGGTCTAACGGTCATGATTTCCGCTTGTCAAATCTACAAAGCGCGGGAGACCGGGGTTCGACTCCCCGTCAGAGAGAAAAATATTGTTTCTTCTCTGAGCTCATGCTTGCTCAGATATACACTTTATGATACACTTTATTAAGCATCAGTGGTTTAGTGGTAAAATCCATCGTTGCCATCGATGGGCCCCGTGTTCGATTCACGGCTGATGCAGAAGTCTCTACATTCGGAGAATACGCCTTTTTTTTTTTTTTTTTTTTTTTTGACGCACAAGGGATGGAATGGAGACTTGCGTTGCTATGGGGGAGGTTTTTTAGCTATAGAAATAGAGAGGGGGCGATGGAGAGGATTGAGTATGTAACCGCAAGATATGGGGGTGTGGATCTTATACTACCCCCTTTTTTGGGAATTCGTTGGGTCGTGTGCGCATGCCTCGTCCCTCACCATCCCTTCCCCATCCCTTCTTCCCATCCCTTCTCTATCACATCCCCAACCATCCCATCACTCCCCCCATCACCCCCCGCCCCCCCATCACAGTAAAAAGTAACCGAACCAAACACCTCATCAGTGGAGAGAACATCTGTATCTATTCCCATTTCTATTCCCATTTCCATGACCTACCGCCCGCCTCCCACGATACCCGGATATCTACTCGAGAATATCTTCTGGATCTTAGCAGCTACCAACAGCAGCCAAGGTTCTACCCGGTGTGCGCTATCGACTGCTGTTGCGGTGGTGTAGTGGCCGGGAGGGGGGGATAGCAGTGGGGGAGGGGGTGGTGACAAAAAGATATCGGTGACGACGAGGTATAAGCGGTGGTGAGAACAACGCCACGACGACAGGAATACAACCCCCCCCCCAACCTTCACCCTCCAACTCCTGTACAACCTCGCATATCGTATGGCATGCGTGGGTGGGTGGATAGTCACACCTCCCAAAAGAGCCATATGATATTTCGTCGTCTTTGTTCTGGTGGGTGTGGAAGGGGGGGGGAGGAGGGTATATCATATTTTTTTTCTGTTCTAGGGTTTGGAAGGTTGGGGATAGGCGGATGGATAGATGGAGGTATGGGGGGATGGAGAGATGGGGGGATGGCGATATAGCATGCATGTATAGATGGGTAGTGTGAAGTTAGGGGGGGGGGGGAGGGGTTGAGAAGACTTCTCTTCTTCCTCTCTCTCTCTCTCTATCTTCTATCTCCCTAATATCTGTCTCTCCCTCCCCTCCCCCCTCCCCTTCCCCCCCCCCGACTTTTCACCCCTTATTTCTCTTCTCTCTTTTTCTCCCCGTCTCCCACCACCCCCTTCCCATCCCACCCCCTCCTCCTTCTCCTTCTCACCACCCCCCCAACACCCGGCTTCCCAAAAAAAAAAAAACGACTATAAAACCCCAACCCCCAAACGCAGCTCTAAAAACCATGGTATCTATACCACCTACCAATCAAATCCCACATTTCACGTCCCCCCTCCCCTCCCCCGCCGTTATTCACCACACTCTACCCCAGACTCACCTCAGCTTCCACCCATAACCCAGCCTGTCTCGGGACTGGGACTGATGATGACGACGTGACGACGTGGATTATGGTGACGGGTGGCAAAGTGGTGACAACAGCGAGTGCCGACGACAACAGCACGAAGCGATGACAGGACTAAGCGGTGACAACACCCCCCCCCTCCCCTCTCCACACCACCATACCCCTCTGTCAGCGCATCACACACACCCAGCCATCACCAACCATCTATCAGTTCCGTTGGACGACGTCAAATTCTTCTTGCATCTGCCAGTTGTTTATCGTATCAAATTGTGTCGTGAGCGGGCGGGGGAGGGGGTTATATACACATACCCATCCACCCCCTATTACGCTCTGATACGCGTTATGGGGTTGGGAGGATGGGGGAACACACTGCAGGTACGGGCTCACGCGGACATGAATGCAACGGACAAGTGATGGGTAATTGACAAGATTTCTTCGCTCTTACTTCTATCTCTCTATAAACCCCTTTTCTCTTCTCTTCTCTTCTCTTCTCTCCTACTCCCCATCTCTCCTCTCCTCTCTCCTCTCTCCTCTCTCCTCCTTCCCCCTTTTCACACCCCCCTCCCCACAACACAGCAAAAGTAAAAGCCAACCCCAACCCCAAGCTCACCACCAAGAACAAAAAAAAACCAAAGGTAACCCAGCCTCTCCAGAGATACGAAGAAGACAGAATGGGGCAAACACCACCATAAGATCTTATCGACATCCCCACTCCCCATAGAATAAAATAGTACCTCCTCCCCCCCCACTCATCGAGATACATAGACATTAAACAACCCTCGTCCCCAAGAATAGAACATACATCATCATCTTTGAAAAATAGGAGCGACAAATGCGCGAAGAAAGCCATAAAGGTCGAAACACATAAAAGAAAGAAGAAAAAAAGTAGTTGTGTGTCGGGGGAACAACAAAAGGGGTCGAGAAGAAACGTCAACCAGCCACACAGATAGTAGCCGAACGACAAGAGTTGAGTAAATAAAACACCATACACCATCCATCCACCGCACCAATACCACAAAAAATCGCACTCATCCATCAATCACCACCATCATCTCAACTCATCACATCTACCACCCGCACATCATCACCTCAGCAATCTTAATTCCCCGGCACCGGCTTCCTCCCCACCATCTTCCTCTCCACCACCGGCCCCGGTCCCGTCGGCGCCGTAATAGTAACTTCCGGGATCGAAAACCCACTGTTCGCTTGTGACAGCGCCGGACTACTCGGTAACGGCACTGCTGCGGCTACCGGACTCGAACTCCCCACCTGCGCCGCGGACGAAGAAGGGGACGATATAGCATGTGGAGGCGGACTCGACGGGGATTGTCCCTGCTGCTGAGCTTGTTGTGCTGGGCCGCGGTTCATACCCGGTGACATCGGTCCCGGACCTTGTTGAGGGCGGTATTGAGGACCGTAGTTCCCGGGACCAGGTGAGTTACGTCCGTTTCCATTAGCGGACATAGCTGGTGACATCGGACGACCCTGCTGTGGACGTCCCTGACCTGGTGGACCTTGTTGTTGAGGGCGGTATTGGGGGCCTCGTCCGTTGCCGTTGGTGTTCATTGGTGGACCGGCGCGATTCTGTTGCTGGCCTTGGTTCGGGCCCTGCTGTTGCTGTTGTTGCTGGTTCTGGTTTTGGTGGGAAGGATAGAGAGGAGCGTTGGAGCTAGTAGGAGAGTGGCGGCGCTGACCGTTCTGGAAGGGGCCGGGGACGGATTTGTTGGAGGGGGAGCGACGGGCGGCGATGGGGGAGTTGGAGATGCATGTTCGGGGGAGGACGCCCTCGGATGAGCCGTCTTCTTTGATGCACATGCACTGTATTTCGTTAGTATGAACAATTCTACAATTTTCGCGCACCCCTTAAGGTGTAAAAAAAAGGGGGGAGGGGGGGGCGTGAAGAAGAAGAAAAATAAGACTCACCCATCCATCATCAAACTCCTTCAACAACTTAACAATCTCCCCCGCCCTAACCCTCAACTCATCCGGCATCGAAGGCGAGAAATCCAAATGCACACGATACAAACTCGTATTACTCGCCGCACCACTCGTCACCGCACCCACCATCGCCGCCGCAGCCTGCGTCGGCGAAACCGGCGACACCGGACTACCGCTGCCATTGGACTCCTCAATCACACCCGCCAAAGGCTGCGGCATCTCGCCCGTATTATGCATCTGCTGACTCGTGTTCATGACTCTATTCGCATCCGTCCTCGCCGCATCGCTGAAGGGGGACTGCGCGGATTTGTTACCAGAGTACTTATTCTGCGCCCCGCGCGAGGTGCTGCGGACTGGGCCCTTGGCACTAGCAGCTGCTGCGCCGGCGACGACGACACCAGCTGCCGACACGCCGTCGACGACGGAGGGACCGGCGGCGTTGACGGGGTCGATGGATTCAGCGTGGTTGCCGAAGGGGTTGGCGCGGTTCTGCTCCATACCGCGGTTTTGAGAGGTCATCTGGATACCGTTCCCAGCGGCGGCGTTGGGGTTCTGCATCTGGCTGGCGCGGTTGGGCATGAAGAATGCGGTGGTAGGACGGACGTCAAGGCGGGGCGCGGTGGAAAGGCGCTTGAGGCCGCGCATACTCGCTGGACCACCAGCGGCGGCGGTAGCGGAGGGGGGGCCGACGTTGGTGAATTTCTCGTCGTCCATGCGTTCCCTCTCCTCGGCCTTCTTGCGCTGGCGGAAACAGAAGAAGATGAGGGAGAGGATAGCGGCGATCGCCACTACGATTCCGATGGCTAACCCGGCTTTGGCGCCGCCGGTCATGCCGCTCGGTGTGGCGTTGTCGGCGATGGCGGAGGGGGTGGAGGAGGGTGAGATTGTCGGGGAGGGGGTCCCGGATGTTGCTTCGGTCTGCGAGGCGAGCAGGACTTCCGAGTTCGACGTATCGACTGTGGAGCTAGGGACGATTGATTTCGGGAGTCCCGACAAGGCAGTCGGTGTGGCCGTTGTCTTCGGCTTCGCGGTTGTGGATGCCTTGTGCTGGGCTGTCGATTTTGGCGTCGGCGTCGGCTTCGGCGTGGACGAGTCAAGGAGGATGGGAGTGGATGTCTCGCCGCTCCCGGGTTGGGAGGTCGAGTAGCCGGCGACTGGCTCGGTGAAGGTTGGGGACTGGGTGACGTAGACGTAGCGGGTGCTGCCTTGGCGCTTCTGGGCTTTGTTTTCGCTGTTGCCGAGACCGACGGCGTTTCCTAGGTCGTCGAGGAAGTCGCGAGCGCCGTGTCGGTGGCGGTGGTGTTGGTGGACCATTGTGGTGGTTTGTGGTGGTTTGTGGGCGGGGTTGAAAGAGAGTGTGTGGTGTGTGTTGGGACACGGATTGTAGTCCTGGGTTGTGATGGTTGTGAGGTCCGCAGGACACTGTTTGTAGGGTTCTCTGTTTCAACAAGGAGCGCGTGTGGTGATAAGGTGGAAGAACACTTGTGTCTGTTCACAGACCGTAGTATAGTAGTCTAGTATAGTAGTCTAGTATAGTAGTCGAGAGTGAATTGTTCTTTTCGCAGTGCAGTACAGTAACAATCCAATAAAATGAGCGACGAACC